CCCCACTGGGGTGCCTGGCCAGTCTGGGTGAGGGGTTGAGGGCTGTTTTCAGGCTGCCGGGTGACTGAAGCTCCCAACCACTCCTTTTCTTCTTCTTCTTCTTTTTTTTATTCTGGGTGAGCTTTAGCTCTGAGGCTTGGCTACAGCTCTGAAATCCCAGCTGGCTGAAAGCAGGTTTCTGGGGTTTTGTTTAGCTTCTACATTTGTAAGAATGTTTCAAACTGCCAGTAGCTTTAGCTCTGGCTCCAGCTCAGAGGCCAGCAGTGGCAGGCGGGGAATGTTGGAGTTCTCCATCACTAAAGCAAGCATGCCTCATGTTAACTTCAAGCTGCCTGGCTGCCTGCTGCTATGTTGGCTGGCAGTTAATTTGCATATTGCCCTGATTAGCCAATGGGAAGGGTAGCGGACGTATGGCTAATTACCATGTTTCTCTTTTATTAGATAGGATAACACTGCACAAGAACAAAGCATTGCATTCCAGTCCAAGTGCAGCCACTAACTTACCCTGTGACTTGGAGAAAGTCACTACTCTCTGGACCTTAACTTTCTTATCTGCAAAATCTGGCTATTCATCAGAATCAGTGGGGGTGTTTTCTAAAACGAAAACTTCCTAGGTCACACCTCAAACCTGCTGAGTCAGCATCTCTGAGAGGAGGACGAGAAACCCATCTTTAATCAGCTGCTGGGGAAGTCCTACGGACCTAGGTGCTCTCAGCTCCTTCCACCCCTGACATCCATGGAGTCTTCTCTACCCTCAAGTTATCCTGAGCACTTGCGTCTGGATACAAGTAACACATGGCTTTTCTTTACAGAATAAGAAAAGTTCAGTGAAGCTGGCCACAGCTTTATCACTTGCCTAATGGGTTCAATTCCATTCACTGTAAGACTGTGCCACCCTCTGCTTTTCAGTGAAGACTAATGAAGAGCTATTACTCATTGAATAGTTAAACTGGCTGAGCAGATTTGCACCAAAAATTATGATACATCCATACACAGATCTATAGGACCCTTTACAATATATTCTAATTAGTTGCATCTTTCTCTAATATTCCATACCCACGCTTCAAATACCCAAACTTGTTTCTTCAACGTGCTACATTTTGCAAATGTCCATGACTGCTTGTGCCAATGCCTCTGCCCAGGATGTTCTTGTCTGCCTTCTCTGGCTAGCAAAATTCAATTCATTCTTCAGGACCCAATTTAAATCTTTCTTCTGTGGAACCCTCCCTGAACTACACATCACTGTCCTGCCTGCCACACACAAACCTCCCCTATTCTCTAGCAGGAAGTTTTATTCTAAGAGCCTCCAAAACTTGACACACACCATATAAAAAGCAGCTTGTATGCTGCTGCCTGTGAGTTCCTTGAAGCAGAGACTGAGTGTACGCATCTTTATTCCTGACGTGCATATCGAATCCTCAGTAAACAAAACTCACTTGTCATATAAAATCATGGCATCGTTTTGTGCCTCCTGTCCATCATACTGGCCCTTCTTGGCAGCAAGCTGAGACTGGAAGTTATCTGCTGCCAACCAGAACTGCAAGACATTCACTGCATCTTCTTTTTCCATGTACTAGGAAGGAAAAACACAGAAGAGGAAAATGAGACTATAAACAGATTTCACTTACCATCCCTAATTTATAAGCCCTAACTATTAATATATAGGATATAATTAACAAAACAAAACCAACAAAAAACCCGAACAGGTCCACTTGTTCCGTTAATGCCAGTCAGCAATGTACAGTCATTTGAGATAGAAAAGTTTAAAAACATTCTTTTAGAGGGGGTAAAAAAAAAAACTAACAAAAACACAACTAGTACACAGCTGGATGCAATGTTAGTGAACTGGAGTAAAATTTAGTAAAGGTGCACCAGTGGTTCCTCACTGGCAAACATGCGAAGAGTAAAGTAACCAGACCAAATCTTTTATACCTGATCATTTCCATCACTCCATGCAGCCACATTAACCTGAATAAATGCTGACTTAGCCCCGGCCGGTGGTGCTCAATGGACAGAGCATTCACTGGCCCTTGCACCAGAGAGTCACAAATACAATTCCCGGTCAGGGAATCCACCTGGTGACAGGTTCGATCCCTGGCCCACGAGGGTGGGGTGGGGGGTGGGGGCACAACCAATTGATGTGTTTCCCTGAAATGGATGTTGCTCTCCCTCCTTCTCTCTCTCCCTACCCCCTCCTTTCCACTCCCTCTAAAAATCAATGGAGAAAATATCCTCAGGTGAGGAATAACAACAACAAAAAAAGCTCACTTACACTGTGGCAAACAGAGGGAGTGGAAAATAAATCATTCTTGTGAAGAGATAGGATAGGTGCAAGTGTGTATTTCAGTTACTGCTTCGTGAGACTGGGGATCCTCTTATCTCTACTTAATAGTCATGTACTGTGCAACAAAAGATTTCATTTTCTGAAGCCTACAAATACAATTACACTAAAATGTATGCCTCAAAGACATTAATATACTCACTGCTTTTTGCAAATGCTTTCCTGGGCAATTGTATGAAGTGGCTAAAGCAAAGGTAATGACAGTAAGAAAAAATTTATGACTTTTCTTTCTCTCTTCTGAAGTCTGATCTGAAAATATTTGCACACTGGGATCAAGTATCAAACTCTGTGATTTTAAAACAACTCCAAATAATTTAAAATATACATTCTCTTAATTCGATTTTTCCAAATTAGAGTTATTTTACATTGCATTTTCATGGTCTCTCTTTAATATGTCATTAAAGTTCTCTTGCCACCACATACACCTTAAAACAATTACACAATTATTTAAATCCAGCTATGTTATTTTCTATATACAGGGCCCCAGCATTACAGTTTAGAGGCTGCAATGCTCGAACAGAGTATGAGAGGAAACGCAGACTTTACCTCAGAGAAATAAAAGAGGGCTGACTCACAGAAGAGAATGTCAGCCAGGTAAACAGTTCCGCTGGTCAGCACTTCAATCTGGTATTTACAGAAATGGTGACTCCGCAGAAACTCACTAAAGTGCCTGCACATGGACAAAAGGGGAC